CCACAGGGCCCGATTCTGACTTCCCAGGAGGTGTTGGTTAATATTTTAAAAATTTAATTTGTAAGATAGTCACATGTATGAGAAACTGTGTGGTGTAAGTGTACACTGTACAATGTTTGGATAAGTCAGAGACACACCTTGTCACCCTCTGTTGTAAGCCACCTGCGGACCAGAACCTCTTCCTAGAATCCATCTGCTCACTAGAGGGCACTCTCCCTCCCTGTACTACCCCTAATCTCTGGTCACCATCATTTTACTCTCAGCTTCCAGAAGAGCAACATTTCTACATCTCCAAGACATCTTCATGGTGCTTTTTTTTTTTTTTTCTGTGCCTAAGTTCACTTACCACAATATCCAGTTCTCTCCAGTCACAGCAACACGATGCCTTCTTTGTGTGCATACATCATATTCTCTCACGTGCATTTACAGTTGGATTGCACATCAGTCCATCAGCGGGAGGACACGCAGGCTGTTTGTGGCTCCTGGCTGCTGTGACTGGTGCTGCTGTGGACATGGGGGTGCAGATGTCTTTGCAACATGCTGACTCCATTGTCTTTGGCCATATGCCCCAGGAGTGCTTTGTGCTTCAGTTGAGACCATCCTCACTGGAGCATTAGCTCCAAGTTCGTGTGGCAGGGTTCTCTCTCAGCCGCACTCCTCGGCCCCATTACCCTGTTTCACTGGCAACAGACACACTTACTGGGACTGAGAGACAGACAGCTTCCTATGACTTTCGACCTACATTTTTCTGGCGATTAGTAGTTAGCATTTTATCATGTATCTATCAGACATTCCCATGTCTTCTGAGAGACATTAGGCAGCTTGCCCATTTTTAATGGGTGTGATGATTAATCTTGATTGTCCATTTGATGGGATTCAGAATCACCATGGAAACAGATCTCTAGGCGTGTCTATGAGAGATCTAGATTAATGAGGTTAGCTGAGATGGAAAGACAGAGTCTAAATGCGGCTGGCACCGTTTCTACCAGCTGGGGGTTCACAAGTGTGAGCTGAGCTAAGCACTGAGCACCCTTTGCTTCCTGTGGATGCAATATGACCAGCGACTTCACCCTCCTGACATCATGCTTCCCCCACCTCGATGGACTTGTCCCTTAGGACTGCTGCAGCAGAAATACTCCCCTTCTCCCTTACGTTGCTTCTTGTCCAGCGTTTTTACCCTGGTGATGGGAAAAGGAACTAATCCCACTGTTCACTCCTGTTCTACTCTTCACACTTCCTTGTGCGCACTCCACGTTAGCCCGGGTTGATGTACACTCTGCAGGTGATGTCTTCCATTCTCTATGTTGTTTCTTCAGGCTGCTTCATCGCTAAGTAGCGTTTCAGTTTGATGTGATTCCCATTACCCAGCTTTCCTTTTTGTTTGCCTATGCTTTTGAGATCTGGTAAAGAGAAAACAAAACACTAGCCCCCCAAGAGCCCCACCTCTTCCAGTACCCTGAAGCATTTTCATTTCCTTGAATAGCTTGTCTTGTTTTATGGCTTCCAATTCTTTTTCTTTAAACTAGTGAAAGGTGGATATTCAATTCCCAGCACATTTTGCTGACTTTTTCCCATTGCATATTCTTTTATAACTGTGTTGATGTTCAGCTGATTTAGATGTGAGCTTATCTGGGGACTTCCTCATTGATCCGAGAGTCTGTTTTTACATCGGCACCATGATGTTTTAAGTAGCACAGCTTTGTAGTGTTCTAGGTTCAGCAGCACAATGCCTTCCTTGTACATTGTTCTTTATGCTCAGACTGCTTTCCTATTTGGAGGTCTCTATGGTTCTATGCAGAGTTCAGACTAGTGTTTGTACAGTTCTGTGAAGGCTGCCATTTGACCGAGATTGCAGTGGATTCCAGCGGTTTCTATAGTGGTGGTTCTTAGAACCCATGAACAAGGGGCAACCTTCCAATCTGTGTGTCCGTTTTGGTGGCTATTGTAAATAGCATTGCTGTCCTGATTTGTTCCAGAGATCTTGTAGTTGGCAAAGGCAACACTACTGAATTTTCAACGCTGTTTTCTTTGTTCTGAGATTTTGTGAATTCTTTAGTCCCAATACACTTTTGGAGGTCCTTATTTAAGGTCACATTATCTGCAGTGACAATGACCTTCCTCTTTTCCAGTCTCACTGCTTCTTCCTTCTCTTGCCAGTCTGATTCCTCTGCTAGGAATCCAGAACAATGCTGAATGGTGTCTCTGTCTTGTCCCAATGTGAGAGAGAAAACGGTCAGTCTTTTCTGATCCAGTTTAACATCAGTCGCTGGCTAACGTTGACTGTCCTTCCTTCGTTGACACTGACATGTTCCTCTGCATTAGGTGGTTCAGTCTCCATCTGATGTGAGGCTTCCACTGAACCTACTCAGACATCTTCACAGTCTTCGTCCCTCAGAGATCTAGGCTGCCGTGAGCTCCCAGCAAGAAATGGGGTGTGGCTGGGGCTCTCAGTACAGAGGTCGGCACCGGGATGAGACACCCAGGGGTGATCCTCACTGAGCCTGCTGAAGACCTAACATCCTTCCACAGAACCCTCCTTGGCCAGTGACTCACATCCATCTTCATCTGCAATCAGAATTATTTACTAGCAGTAAATAAACTGACCCCCCAAGAGTGGTGGCCCAGCATACAAACATTAAGATGTCAATCTCTTGATGTAAAAACATGTTAATATTTTGTTTGGCAGGCAGGACAGGGAGTGTCCAGGGTTCACAATCACACTCACCACAGTGTCAGACAGGTAGACGGAAGCAGAAAGGAAATGGTTTACACACTGGTTCCTCCCTGGCTCTAGAAAAATCAATCTCTAGAACCATCTCATTAAAATTGTTGCCTCTCTGCCTCGAGGAACCAAGTGGATAATTCACATTTATAGCCGCTATTCACATTCCAAATGCTTCCCACAGGAGTGCATGCCCAAGACTGATGAGAAGCCCTTGTCCTCTGGATGGCTCTGTGCTGCTCATGAGTCAGGCCAGAGTGCCACGTCTGCCCTGCCCACCCCGGTCACCGCCACAGCCGTTAACCCACCTGGACACGTTTGCTTTCACCCCAAAGCATTTTATTTTATGATTATCTTTAGAAATCACCAACGAGGATTTGACTGAACAGTTAAAAATTATTTGTACCTGTTTCCTTGTCATCCACCCCCTTCCACCTGCCACGTACTGTGGAAACAATGGGCCCAGGCAGGCAAACTAGTCGCCTAGGAGTAGAAGGAAGAGGGCTTTCCTGATGATGGGCAGACTCCTAGTAACCCGCCTCTGCCCATGCGCTGGTCTGCGGCGCCCCCTGGTGGCCACAATTCAAAAACAATCCCCTGCCACAGTTGCATTTGATAAATTGCACAGCCACATTTTATTTTTATACAAATAATGAGGAAAAAACAAAACGACCACCTTCACTGGGCCAGTACAACAGCTTCAAGGACACATTGCACCATGACCTTGTTACTCCTGACAGGTCAGCTCCCGACCACAGAGGACCAGCAGTCATGCCCATGTGACTCGACCCAGCTCCACCTTTCAGTTCGGATGATAAAAGCCTCCGCCTGCGTTCTGCTGGGCACCGGCAATCAGTGTCAGCCCGAAGCTGCCTCACCCCAACAGAGCCACACAGCACTATGGGCGGCTTCTGTCCTTGTAGATGTGCCACGGATAGAAGAAGTACGGCAGCCCGAGCTGGAGCTGGTGCGACTAGACTGGAAAATGCCACTGTCCACAGAAACTTCCAGAGGTGCTCAACCACTGGACTCCCCTGGCATGCAAAGCGTGCCCCCTTGGTCTCGCTCCCTGCTTGCTCTATCTCAACAGGCCACCCCACCACTGACGCCTCACTTCCCATCTAGCACAGGGACACTGCACTTTTTTCTACTCTGTCCCTTCCTGGAGGCCTTAGGGGAAGCTCCTGTTCTCTCTAGAGAAGCAGAAAGAGATGGGACAAAGGGGAGGGGAAGGGAGATGGGGTGCTATGAATATAGATGAGTCAAGGAAGCACTTGCCTCCTTCAGCTACTGTTCCCCAAATCTCTGCCCTGACCTCTAATACAATTTTGCTTATAGAGGCTCCCTGAGGCCACCAATGGTTGGACACCTTGTTCACCAGGCAAAGGGAAAGCATGCATCTGTGATCCCCCCACCAACAAGCCTGTGCACCTATTCCTGGCCATTTAACCTAGTGGGGCTCAGTACCCTGGTCCTCAGACACTTCCACAGCACGTTGTCCCTGCCTCTGGGTCAGGCTTGAAACCCATCTCCCTGACCACCTGCACGGCCACCCACAGTGCCTTGCACCTGTCCCCTGAGGCCCCGGGCTGTGAGGTCCTGGTCAGTCCGCTCTTGTCTGTACTTGCTGAGCCTCCTTTCCTAGAGTAGCCCCAGTGAACAGCCGCCATCACACCGTCGGAGCCCAGGACTCCACCGAGACCTGTAGTCCAGGCCTAGCTCTGCCGGCTGCTCTCAAGCAGGATCGCAGGGACAACCGCTTTCCGTTGGGACCAGGCACTTTCCAGCACTCGGCAGGGCTTCTCCGGCACGGGGAAGGATGCTACCTTTCCCTCTTCTAGGCCGATGCCCTCCTTCTGGGTCCTCCACGTTCACCTCCTCGGCTGACCCACGTATCTCATGCTGACATCTCTGCTCCTTCTCTGCGCTCACTTTACCCAGGCTGGGTGGGTGATGACTTAGATTTCTCTCAGTCACAGGTCAGAGAGCTGAGAATGTCTTCGCAGGCTTGTTGAGCACCCCACTCCAGCCCACAGCACAGGCAGGAGGCAGTAAAGAAGAGCTTCCCAAGGAGCAACCGCTCATTCATGTTTGTGAAAGCTACTTAATGAACAGGGTGAGTCACCAGAATCATTGTCAATGCGATTTTACAGGCATCAATTATAAAGGATCAGCGAAGCCTACAGAGAACCATTTGACTCCACAATCGGGGAGACATCTTCATCCCCACCAGACATGAGATACTGAGCATCGCACATAACTAATCAGAACAACAGTGTATATGGCTTGCTTTTATTTTTTATTATAAAAACACATACAAGAGTTTTAAGAAATGATGAATATAAGACAAATCGGAATCACAGTAAGTTATTAAACCCATATCTATATACACATACAAAAATTCCGGAAGTGGAATATCATCCAATGTGAGACACATCATGGACAGCACTGTCTGGATGCACACACACCCCCCAGAGCTGCCCCTCTGTACACAGCCCACAGGGCTCCGCTGCTGCCCCAGCCTGGCCATCGGTGCACAGTCCACGTGAGAGCCTTGCGGCAGCCTGTATGCCTTTCTCCGCTGGACCTCAGTTAGCTAAAGGCAGGTCAATCCTTCACAATGAGAGGTGTCAAGGCACTTCTCTGCACAGTGACCATGACCTTCAGGTGACCTTCTCATCTCGGGGAGCTGAAGCCCAGCTCTTAGGGTGCCGAGTCTCCTGTGTTTGCGGGGCCAGCTGAGCGCTCAACACCCAGGGATCCAACTTCTTCCAGGCAGCTGACGATTGCAGATGGAATGGTGTTGGAAGTCTGTGTCCGCCAAGCTTCCAGGATCCGGGATATCTCTGCTGGATTGCTAGGACTCAAGTCACAAAGGGCATAAACAGCTGCAAGCTGTACACCCCATGGGATATCTGAAAAGAAATGTCAAATCAGGTTTAACACAGCAACAAAGAAAACAGTTATTCGGGATCCCCATGTGGGACCTACAGGACTTACTAAGATAGAGATTATTTTCTGCCAGCAATGAAAATTCCAAAGAAAATGTCTCCCAATAAAAAAGTTCATTCAAGACCCGTCTCAAAATGAAAAATAAAAGAGCTCCTTGTACATCTGAGCAATGGCTGTCCTCAGGCCTTTGGAGCACCTCTGCCCAGATGAAGCTGTAAAGACACATGGATCCTGAAACAACCAACTAGCATAAAACTCAAACATCCTCCAGTGCTGTCTCTAAGTGGACACAGACATGAAAATCATGACAAAATAGACTAAATAAAAGCCTATCCTGTGCCACGCTGACAGCAGATGAGACTGTGACTCGGCCAGTGTGGCTCCAGGCCAGTGTAACTCTAGGTTAGTGTGACTCCAGGCCAGTGTGACTCCAAGCCAGTAGGAATCCAGACCACTATAACTCCAGGCCAGTATGACTGTAAGGCCAATGTGACCCAAGGCCAGTGAGACTCTAAGGTCAGTGTACAAACCAGTAAAACTCCAGGCCAGGGTGATTCCAGGCCAGTGTGACCCTAAGGCCAATTTGATACTAGGCTAGTGTGACTCCATGCCAATATGAATTCAAGTTCAGTGTGACTCTGAAGCCAGTGAAATGCCACAGTGTAACTTCAAGCCAGTGTGACTCTACGGCCAGTGTGATTCTAAGGTCAGTGTGATTCTAAGGTCAGTGTGACTTAAGGCCAATGTGACTCCAAGACAGTGAAATTCCAAGGCCAATGTGACTTCAAGGCCAGTGTGACTCCAATGCCACTGTGACTCCAGGCCTATGTGTCAGAGCTAGTTTAGTCATACAGCTATTATCCCTATCATGGCAAAAACTTAATTTTTAATAACAGCTTATTAATTCATAATTTAATTAATATCATTCATTGAAATTTAAATTATTGAGGAGCAAAAGTTCATTATTAACCACACCCCACTATCTTCTACCTTCTACGAGCAAGGCAGGGATAAAGAAGGCAAAGCACAATTTCAGGCTGAGTGTCCCTCATTCCAATGCATGTCCTCAGGTCCAACCATGACTTTCATTTATGGCCCTGTGTGCCTTCCATACACAGCAAAGGTAATTTAGCACAGCATTTTAATATTTTCATGTACTAAGCAGTTTCTTGGCATGGAATTTTATAGCTACCGTATTTTGTCAGTGCCCAGAAAGTTTTAGATTTTGGAATAGGAGTGATGCTCACTCTCTCTCTGCCAAGGGCAGCTCTGGAAAGTTTTGCTCTTCAAGCAGGAGACAAACACCAGAGAAATCCATGTGTCTAAATGTCAGTTCTACTGTATAGGAGAACCGAAATTCTTTAAAAGGATTTCTCTCCTGAGCTGAAGATTCAAGAAAAGCACAGACTACGGCTCCCTTTGGGGCCGGGGCTCAGGGAGATAGGAATGAGGTGTTCAGAACAGCCTTAATGATGCACCTGTGACCCTGTGCAGACTTCCCAGACCGCAGCACACAGGCCTGCAACAACAGACTCTTCTTCCCTCCGTGACTTAGAGTATGAAACCAGGACAGTGCCGTTCTACCTCCACGGAGTCTAGGATGCATGTAATGAGGTTGGGCAGTGTCCCGTGATACATGGCTTCTCAGTTACACCTGCAACCGCAACAGTCCAGGCTGCACGTGTTGCCAAGACGACTCATCGGCTATGATCCTGACTACTCTCTGTATGTCAAGATGCACAAAACTGTTGTCAAGAGCATTTTCCTACGGAGCAGAAGACACTGCCTTAGGACCTGCAGTGTATTTGCTCCGACCATGACCTCGGGCTATAGGGCCTGAAGGAGGCGGTGCTTCTTGCCGTTGTACTTGACCTCTTAAAGGGAAGGGAGGGGTCACGAGCCCCTTCTCCCGGATGCCTGTTCCCGGTGTGGTTCAACTGCCAGGGGGATTGGCTCCCGGTCAGATCAGAGGACGACGTCAGCTGTCTACTCAGTTCTGTATTCCTGAGTGTATTTCCTCAATTTGTCCTAATAAATTTCCCTAGTGCTCCTCAAGCAGACTCCTGTGGACTTCTCGCTGTAGGTGCCTGGTCAGAGTGCCTCAGAGAAAGCATTGACAGGTTGTTGTCGTCCACAGGCCTGGCGCATCAGGCCAGCACATGGGCCCACTGCACTGCAGGACACCCACCTCATGCTGTCCCGCTGCTTTCCCCGAGGACACAGCTGCAGCAGGCAGCCTCACGGGCGTTTTCTCAACTGTGGTTCCCTCCTCTCAGATGACTTTAGCTTGTGCCAAGTTGACATAAAACTAACTAGCACACTACCTACCTAAGAAAGCAGCAGGTGTTTTGTGCTTATGCATGGGTGAGAGGTGGTGAGCCATCCTCAAAATGCCTCCCGGATGGCAGGGTACCAGCCCCATGAGCAGAGTTCCTTCTTTCAAGGACGTACAGCTCAGTAGCACAAACTGACCCTTGCAGAAACAATACACTATGAAAATCAAAACCACATGATCTTCAGTTTGGAGGGGCATTGGCTCATGTCCTCACGACATGCAGGAGAACAGCTTAAGAGACACGAAAGCCAGTCTTACCTTCATCCTGAGCATGTTGTATGAACATACCAATAACCGAGCTGATATTCTTCACGGCAGTTGGAAATCCTTCCTTCAAACCCAACTGGCCTAATCGACCTGGTGAAACAAAATACAGTGTAAGGAGAATTCAGTAAATGCTGGATAATACTTCCTAAAACTGTAAATTCATGTTTCCTTTCATTTAACACGGTATAGTTTAAGCCTGAAGATCCTGGACTGTAGCGGAAGCCAGCATTCAGTGAGACGCTGAGGCCGCAGAGCTCAAGCACGATGCTCCTTAGTGCTTTTGCCAACTACGACAGGTGGCGATGCAGCAATGGAACTTACATAGCGGTCACCACCGGCAAGACGAGAGAGAGATACCTTTACGAGGTTAACAGAGAAGGAAGGCTATGGCCGCACTGACAGACTGTGACGACAGAGCAGCAGCCACAGTCAAAAGGCCTGCCACTAACACAAGAAGCTCTGAGTGCAAAGACAGCGGGTCCCACTGGACGAGGCGATTCTCCCCAGTTAGTGCTTATGCCAATCTCACTAAACATGTGCTTGAGGAGCAGGCACAGCTACCTGCATCCAACCTGGATCGTGGTACACACGCGTGTGACGTGGGAGGTCACAGGAGTGCATGTAAACACAGCACATGGCACACGGGCTGCTGTGACGTGTGCCCAAAGGTGAGTTGTGAGCGCAGCCAGGCATCCTGCCCCATGCCATGTTCACCAATAAGCCAGAGCCACTTGGTAAAGGGAGATGTGTTCTCAAATACAAAAATACAAATACAACTTGAAGAAGTCACCACCATGGGCAAGGGTGACATGGGAGCTTGAGTCAAAGGCAGAACCGACAACTCCCACCAGCCACCTTAGCTTGGGAGCTTGCCCAGACTAAGTTCACCTCTAACATGACCTTGTGTGTGTATTTGGGTAGTGATGGCATCTGGAAGATGTGTTTAACCAACTGCTTCCAGGGGAACATTGCATACCACAACTGAAAGTGGGCAAATGGATTCTTTACCATGAAAGCTGGACTGGTGGATTTCAGGTTTCACAACTAACTTCAAGAACTTACTACGTCAACAGGAGCCACAAGACCCCATCTCAGGAAAAACCAAGAGGATATCTGGAAATACCTGAAATGGCCATTGAAACACTCTTCCCGTTCCCCACTTCGTCAGTGACATTTCTGTACAAATCATCTCCTTTTTCGCTTTGTTTCTCTGTGCAGCCCTGGCTGTCCCGGCACTCAGACACTGCTGGCATCTGCCTCCCAAGTGCCGGCCTTACAGGCGTCACCACCACTACCCCACTAAGAGTCACTTCTTTCCCTCACCCCAGACAACACAGCACAGGATGAAGATCTAAGAAAAAGTGTAGTGGGTAGCCATTCCAGCTTTGGTCTGGAAGTTCCAACCCCCACTGAGGTTTTGGTAACTATCACACCTACAAGGCAGGGCCAAGGGAGGGCCCTGAAGACCCGAGATGGGATGCACTGTGCTCTCTTGCTGCTGGGAGCCCGGACGCTAGAGGTGGACCAAGGAGAGTTCTCCAGAGAACACCACCGGACTATGCTGGTCTTTCCCAGAACCCTCAACCTACCTATCCCTTCATTTGTAAGTTACTCCATTAAATAAATCTCCCTTTTAACTACGTGGAGTGGCCTTAATAATTTCACCAATTTCTGGCGCCCAATGTGGGGCAAATTCCAAAGGCCTGGGTGGCTCCCACCCTCAGCCTCCTCCCTGGCTGGCGAGTACCTAAACCCGCCTGCAAAGTTCCATATAACCAGAGAATGCCTAGACGGTTCCATTCCCAAAAAAGGGAGCAGCCAGTCCACTCTCAGTTCCCTAGCTTAGCCCCGAGACCAGCAAAATTCCACTGTGAGTGAGGCATTCCCCTCCTCCCTGAGTGCCAGCTCAGGCTTCCACCTTCTCAGCTCCTGCCTTCAGCTACAGTCAGCCAAGGTCGCCAGCAGGCCCTACTTTGGAGCTGTACCAATGCCACCTGCTGGCTGAAAAGTGCTACTACACCCCCAAAATCACAAAAGGTAAACTAAGCAAACAAGCATATTGTTTCAAGTAAAAGTACTTGATAATTTTAAACCTTAAAATTGATTAATAAATTTTGAGTAATTCTTGTAATATGGCCGACAACATTACCTCACAAGAATTTAAAAACCTTTTCGCCTGTATGATGGATGACATCTTCCTGGAAATATACGACCTTCCTAAGGCATATCTGGCCTGTACCATTTTGGCATTCATCGTAATAATTCACACAGTGTCCAAACACTGGTTTAATAACAAGAACAAAGATAAGTCATTATTGGGACTTATACAGGCTTTAAAAGATAGCAATGAAGGCTTACACAAAAAGATTCTTTCTCTGGAATCTGCTAATCAGGATTTACAAAACAGGCTTGTACCCAAAATTGATTTTATTGATAATAAATATGAATACTTAGTGGATAGAACACTAACTCTCCAGAGTGAAGTTGTGGCTACTCAGACACTATATAAGAAAGAAAGATTATCGTTAATTGATAAGATAAGGTCAATGGAATCATGTGTTTCAAAAGAATATAAAAAATTCCATGATTCCATGAGAAATCTGGAGTCCCTTGCAAGAGAGGAGGTTCACTCCCTAGAACAGACCCTAGGTGCTCGTTTGCAAGCCCTGGAAAAACTCTCAGTAAACATGACAAAGGAACTAATAAACAGAAGGACAAGACCATAGAGGTTGTAACATCTCCAAATGGCTCTGATACAATGGCTTATCCTGTTATCACCCATGAGAAGCCAGCAGATGACACATACCCTGAGCCATATATGACATATACATTACAACCAATTTCAACAAGGGACTTTAAAAATATAAAGAAAACAGTAGTTACGTATGGGATACACTCCACATACGTAAAACAGATGTTAAATTCATGGTCTACCTCACATCAGTTAATTTCAGCCAGGCATGGTGACTCACGCCTTTAATTTCAGGAAGTGATGGCAGGAAGCAGAAAGGTATATAAGGTGTGAGGACCAGGAACTAGAGCTGGTCAAGTTTTTAGGCTTATGAGCAGCAGTTCAGCTGAGATCCATTCAGATGAGGACACAGAGACTTTCCAGTTTGAGGAAACGAGATCAGGTGAGGAACTGGTGAGGTGAGGTTGGCTGTGGCTTGTTCTGTTTCTCTGATCTTCCAGCATTCATCCCAATAACTGGCATTGGATTTGTTTTTATTAATAAGACCTTCTAACAATTAGTGCTACACACACTTGTCCTGGCTCTGCCACCCACACTCAGTCAGTGGCTCTGTCCAAAGCTCAAGCTATGCAGGCATCAGCTCTAAGACATCTGCAAACCCCTGGCACATCAGGTCTTCCCCCACTTTCCTGGATGATCTCCAACACTACTGGTAAGGTGTGCTGGAGCAAATCCTACCTAAGAACTGAATATGGCTAACAGCCAAGTTTATTGCTCAGTTCAGTATTATACCATGTTGCACACGGACAGAAAGCTTGTTTTTCATTACAGAACATAATCTGGACTGAAGATGGCTATCCATTCTTCAAAGTACGTATTATGTATTTATGAATTTTCATTATATGGCATTGCCAGGTATGTATTAATAAATAACTCTTGTCCATAACAATTATAGTAACTATTATTTAAGATTACATTACTCTAAATCCCTCTCTCTTGAAAGCCAGAAGACTTAAGATTTAAAAAATAAACTCACCTTAATTTCACAAAAGAACAAATGGAGTTTTGTCCCTATAATTGATGGTATTCTGGCTCTGGGGTAAAAATTCCAGCATGTTCTTCCTGACTTACTAGAGAACTAGCCTTTCCATGAGGCACCTTTAGTGCAAGTGCTTACATAATATGAGTAGCTGGTCTAAAAGCATTTGGTGACATCGAACCCAAAGTGCCTGTTGTCCTGTTCAGAGCAACTGCGACACTTCCCCATCTTCCTCAAGACAAGCTTCCCTGCGAGGCTGTGCAGAACCAGCTGGAGAAGCAGCAGAGCCTGGCTCTCTATCTTAGGACAGGACAAGTTTCTTGGGCAGTTTGGAGCAGCCCTCCTGTAAGAACCACAGAGGCACAAGGCCACCGACCACCAAAACCGCATCCACCTGACTGCCCCCTCACTGCAGTAACAAACACAGAACACAATCACTGTAACAAGAACATCAAAATCCCCATTTTCAACTGTGGCTCAGTGTGATCCCCAGAACTCACGGTTTGGGGTGCTGCAACCCTAGTGCTGGACTCCTGGATCTTGATAGTCAGGTAACCTAGATAATTTTGCAAATTTCAGTCCAGTGAGAGAAAATGTCTCAAAAACCCAGAATAAAATAAACGAAACCCACTAAGTAGATGACATCCCGACATGACACCGAGGTGTCCTCTGACCTCCACAAGCACACGTGCACACAGGTATGCACACACAGTTACGCACTTGATGTGCACATGCACACACCAAGTGTGGCTTCATAAAGTCACCTTCCAGGGAAAATGCCACACCCACACACACACACACACCCACACCCACACACCCACACACACCCGAGCTCTATGAATAACCACAACAGGAAAGACTATCCCTGCTGTCACTGTATCAGCAAGTGCTTCCTCCCGTGTGACCCACCCAGGTCAGCAGACACTGACAGGCTGAAAACAGCTTTCCTATTTCTGTCCTCTCACAAAGCTCCCCACTTTAGCGGTCGGTCACAGCAGAGGGAGAGCAGCACCCCCGGCACTGGCCCCCGGCACTGGCCCCCGGCACTGGCCCCCGGCACATGCCCACGTCTTGATGGGACCTTTGCCAGCACAGGCCCTTTCCCTACCTTCTTCCTCCTGCTCTAGGATACAACAGTCAAACAGGCAAGGAGCTCGGCAAAGCACGTCTGAGGCTGCCCAGAGGGCAGGGGTCACCGTGCCTGTGCCTGGCCATCCTTTGATTTGGCTCCCGTGACTCTCTAGTCTGGCTGTTATTGGTTTTCATCTTTCCTTATTAGGGAACATAATACCACACACACTTGTACTTACTTCCCATGAAGGCACGTTCCCACCCAGAGTCAAGTTTCTGTCTTAGATGTTTTATACATGTTCTAAGCACAGCAGGACTAACTACTGTGTGAGGTTCACAAGGAGGAAGAACCACATTTGTAGACAGTGACAATCAGCAGGGACATTGTATTTCTCACTATGTACTTATAAGGTTTGTTCACACAGCACATTCTCAAATGGTAACATTATTTTCAACAGTATTGCCTTTGAAGTTTAATTAGCCAAAAAACTAATTAGCCAAAGAGCTCTTTGAACAGACCAGGGTGGCTTTGGTTCGTGTCCCTCAGATAGGAGGACACCTACAGGTCAAACAAAGTATGAGGGTTGTTGATGGACAGAAAGCATTACTGATGATCCATGGATGAGTGGACAGCAGGTTGTCACAGGTCAGGAAGAGAGGAGCAAATAAGTAAAACTAAAACCTTGAGGTTCCAGGGAGGACTGTAAGGGCCTGCTCTAGATTTTACAGTGAGGAGTCTGGGTCTCACAGCATTCTCAAACAGTGACTTTAGTTTCTACAATGATCTGAAGTGACTCTTGTTAGACATCTAATTGGGATAGCTTATAGGAAGGGATCCCAGTTTGTGGCCCCTGAGGACTGAATGGAAGCCCTCAAGCTTAGCAGCTAGTGCCTTTGCACACTACGTTATCTTGCAGGTCCACGACGATATTTTAGACACTGAACAAGACCACAATATACTTGGTAGCAATTTATAAACCTCTCTGTGTATGTGTCCACATCACCTCTAGAATTATAAATCAAATACTCTACCATGCAGCATCTTAGTCTCTGACAGAGACGGCTAAAGGATTCGGTGTAACAAGAGAAACAGTAAGGAGAGTGGTGAGCACAAACCCACCAGTCTGACAGTGTGAA